TACCAACAGTGGGATTTGCAAGAATACTGTAGATACCATAGAGTATCCCTGAATGCTGATCAAAAGAGATTCTTGCTGAGGTGTGCAACCAATCCAAGCTGTAAAGACTGGAGCTAAAGGTCATTACTACACAAAGCTGGAGTTTAGTCACTCTTCCAGGTAAAATATAAGAAATCTTTTTTTATTGGTCTTGTGAAATTTACTCAGACGCGATAGTCTATCAAGTGATAAACATGAAACAAACTCTAACCCTTCAGTCTAAACAATGTTCCTGACATTTGTTAAGTTTGGTGACAGTATTTTAGAAGACATTCTTACTGTGTTAATAGTTCTGTGTAAAAGGGATGGATACATAATGAATTAATGACTGCTTATGTCTGAATGTTTCCTATTACCCTGGTGCCCGAGATCAGCCACGGTCTTGTTTTATTTTCTAGTACTGATGCTGTGTGATATTGAAGGATCTCACTGAAATTGCGATTTTCATGTCACTGTGACAATCTTGCACTCTCTTTTCTTCATGTAGAGCTCCAGTGGCATATCCCAAAAACTGTTAATGGTTTTAGAGCCAGACCAGTGGCACTTATGATAACTGTAGATGTTAAGTAAATATGCAGAAATATGAATTAAACTGAGTCACTGTGGAGGAACTGGAACTATTGGATTTGTGCCTTGACTTGCAGACTCTGAGAATTCCACATAGCTCTATTTGGTATTAAAATCTGTACCATGAGATTAACTCTTCTTAGCTTAGACCTGAAAAATATTTGGTATATATCGCTTTTATTCCATTTAATGGGAATCATAGATGGAAAAAGGAGGGAAACCTAACTCTGCATAATCTCCAGCGCAGTAATACCATGCTTATCTCAAAAGCATTAAATGCTGCATATTGCATGTTAACTCCAGAGATCACCCTGCATACATTCTGCCTGGCTGAATGGTTGGAACAGCAAGGCTGTGATGAAGGTCTGTGGACAGATAGAGTTGTCAGGTCTTTTCTTCCTTTAAAGGTTAAAGATATAATGGGGACTGCTCAAACATAATGTGGGCAAACACAGTGGATACTGATGAGCTCACATCCAGCTGGTAGCAATAGCTGAAGGTTTCCTGATATTAACACCTGATGAAAATGAAAATCGCCTTGTACAGTTGAGGTTTTGATGATATTTTGAAGCTCAACACAGGTTTGTTATGGCCACCCAGACCTTGGTTTCTGCATCAACTTCTTTAGACCTTTAACTCAAATCTTGAGAAATAATCCAAGAAATGAAGTTTCAGATTCATTTGTTCAGCTCTTCTCATAGTTTGGCTCTGTTACTTTGCCTAATAATTTACCTCTAAAAATTGCTGCATTTAACCTCCTCTACTGCTAGGATAAAGCATGGGCAAGAGAAGCAGGCATGAAGGCATGACAGTTTAAGAACAGGGACTATGCCAAGTGACTATGAAGTAAAATAAAGAAGGAAATTGTTCTTAGTGACTTTAGACTTCGAACGTTATTAGTCCATAGATTCAAAGGTACTAATATATGATGTATAATATTTAGACGAGGAAAGTTTAAAGACCACTTGGAATGCCTCTACGTGTCACAGTGATGTAACTTATTGAATCAAATGAGGCATAGGTAGTTATGAAGATTCCATAGAATCACAGAATATCCTGAGTTGGATCACTGAGGAACATAGAATCATCAAATGGCATAGATTGGAGGAGACCTTTAAAGATCGTGCAGATCCAACCCCCCTACCATGAGAAGGGCTGCCACCCACCAGATCAGACTACCCAGGATCACATCCAATCTGGCCACATATCTCCAGAAGTGGGGCATCCACAGCTTCTCTAGGCAGCCTGCGCCAGCTCCTCACAACCCTCTGAGTAAAAAAATTGCTTCCCAACACTTAACCTAAATTTCCCTTCTTTTATTTTAAAGACATTCCCCTTGTCTTGTTGTTATCAGACTGTGTAAGAAGTTGGTCCTCCTCCTGCTTGTAAGCTCCCTTCAAGTACTGGAAAGCTGCAGTGAGGTCTCCCAGGAGCCTTCTCTTCTCCAGACTGAACAAGCCCACTCACTTGGACTTTCTTTATAGGAGAGGTGCTCCAGCCCTTTGTTCATCTTTGTGGCCCTCCTCTGGACACACTCCAACAGCTCTGGATTGAGTCCAACTCCTGGCTCTGCAAAGGAACACCCAAAATTCAAAACCTTTGTCTGAGAGCACTGTCCAAACACTCCTTGAACTCCAGCAGCTCGGTACATTGACCACTGCCATCTGGTATTGGCATGACCTTTAATTTCCAAGATAATTATGTATTTCTTTAGAAATCTGTTGAAATGGATCATTGGAGCTAAATTTTAGAGGGATTTTTCATATCCTTGTTGCACAAGATCACAAAAGGAGACATTGCTTTAAACTGTGCAGCTAAACTTTAATTAAGCCTTCCTTTTTTGAAAGTACTTTTCTTGTACTTGTATTTTGGTACCTAAAATGAGATTCAGAAATTTAGGGATAATAATTGAGGTCGTTTCAATAGCACACAGTGTTTTTCACGATTTTACAGGTGAAGAACAGTTGTATTCAACTTTGTGTCCATTGAAGCTATTGATCTTGAAGACGTAGTTTGTTTGAATAAAAATGGGTGTGCATTGGTGTTTAAAGAAGTTCGTCAATAAAAAAATGTAGTGATATTCAAACTTAGGCAATCAGTACTTCCTATGAAGGAGTTGTAACCCCTGCGTCATGTTTAGTTAGGGTTTGGAATGAGGTAAATGACCTTGTCTACCTGATTAATCCATGTACAACGGATGAATGTGTGACATGCCCTAATGTGGATCTGTGGCATTTGTACTGCAATCACAACAGTTGACTTTTCAAGAAAACTTTTTTCAGAAAATTTCAGGCCCAGTTGGGCCTGATGCCCATGTTTTTTTCTGCTGCCTATTCCAGGGAAGCTCAGTCATATTTTATTTGTGTTACATATTCTGTTTTAGAGCATGTGGACTATTTCACATGAATCAAAATAAAATAAGACTCTCACAGCCAGTAAATTATGTTGGATTTGCTCCTGATGTCCAGTGAAAGACAGGCAGTGCTAAGAACCTTATTAAAAAGAAGAAAACAACTTACAGAAAGAGGAGGAAAGTACAGGATAAGCAGAATGCGGGAGAATGAAAAATAAATGTATGTTGGCTGTAAAAAAGCAACCTATTCTGCCTTGGTAGTTTCGTGACCTTTGTCACTGATGGTATTGGACTACTTGTGAGCTCTAGATTGTGTAAAAGTTTGAAGGTCAGAAAAATGATATGGGCAGGAAAAAAAAGTCAGTTAGGTGTTTGGAGCAGCAATTGGTAGCTCCTTTTTGAGGGACACAGATGATACCCTGAGCAACACATAGGGCCCTGAGTGTCACCTACTGCTTCTGGACCATTTGCTGGTACGTGGAGGTGTTTACCTAGGTTGCCTGGGTATTTGGAACTTCCTTATCTGCTCTGATTAAGCCAAAATCCTTGGTTAATTAGGATTATTTATTTAAAATCTGGTGACAGCCAAAGAAGCTGAACCAGCAGAATAAAAAGAGGAATGGGAGGTATGTGTCTCAGGTTCAAATGTACTGCAACTTGGAAACAACATAGTCTTAGTGTGCCCTTCAGTACCAACTTTACCCTGCCTTTTGGTTATACTGATTCTGTCTGTGATGCAAAGAAGCCTCTTAGTGCCTTCATCTGTCATGTTCAGCAGGCAAATATTTCAGCTCTTTTAGGCCAGATTGTCCAGAAGCAGCTGAGTGGACTGTGACATCCTGTGGTTTGATTTTTTCCCAGTCCAGTGATTCTGGGCTTCTTCTACTTGAGCGTGATGCTTGGACCAATGGCTTCTCAATCTCAGTGGGAAGTGCTGCAGTGGGGGGAAGGTTTTGTCTAATAGCTGGCCTGGCTGCATCCATCACCCTTGGCAAGATGCAGCTTCACTGCTGCTTTCGTGTATATGCTGAAATATTGTGTTCCTTTTACAAGCTGTTCTGGAGAGATGCATCTGGAAGCTGTTCTCAGGAGCTAGGAGGAATTCATGTGGATATCTGTCTCCTCTGATACATTTCTTTTGTCTCTGAGCTCACAGATTACTGTGGTGGACATCTCTGAGCATGATATTAAAATATTTTCTCAGTAAAAATACCGACATCCTTCTACTGTTGAGTTTTTCTGCTTACTTTCTTCTGAGTTTGAGATCACATGTCTAAACTGAAAGATAACAAGTCTTTTCCCACTGTTAAAGTTTGAGATTGATGCATTCTGAAGTACAAAGTTTCTGGTTGCTGAAATTATGTCTAGCATTCATAGGCAGACATTAAAATTTACGTTATGCTTTTATACCCAAAATATCACAACCCAAATTAGATACGTATTTTTAAACCTTTAGCCTTTTAAAAACCTTTGAAATCGTCTGGCTTCCTAGTAAAGTTTGCATGTACATTAAAAAAAATAAAAATAAAATAAACAAGGCTTAGTCAAGTTAGATGATGATTAAGTTAAACAACATTTGTAAGCTAACTTCCTGGTCTGTTTCCAAGTCAAGGAGAAAAGCCTTGAGTGAGAACAGTGAGAATAGTAGGAAGACAAAACTGTATTTTAAGGGGGGGGGGGGGGGGGAAAGAGGGAAAGAAGAGGAGCGACCTTTCCCTCTCAAAAGTTTTTCACTTCTACTGGAGAACGTTAAAACTCCAGTTGAAATGCTCTGGTCTGTGATTTTTCCATCTCCGAATGTGAAGTACTACCCTATTATTCAGCTTTTCATGCAATGAGAGGTTACAGACTTACCTTGGGGTAAGTCTGTTCTCATCACAGTGCAGGTTCCCTCAGTGTAGGTTGAACTTTTAACCTGGGCTGCAGTTTGTGTGCTTCATCTTGTTGGGAAAAGGGAAGGGAGGAACAAATTTTCACCGGAAATGGCGTCACTGGCTCTAAATTCATCCTGAGGATCTGCTGCGCGTCTGCAACGGCCAAAGACACCTCAGTGCTGCTGCATGTAGTTGCTGCAATGAGCTGAGAAATGTGGGGTGAGGAGGATGTGGGGACTGCAGCTTCTGTACGTACCCAGCCCCAGCTTGCTGTGTGTGAATGCGGTGCGCCCACCACTTCTCGCTGCTTTTGATGTGCGACACTTGGGCCTGAGCCAGATCTGGAAGCTTATTGCTTATGCTATGAAACTGTTGTTTTCTGTTAGCAAGTGGGAAGGAAAGGGATTTGTTTCTCTGTCATTTGTAACAAGTAACAGGCGGAAAGCACTTAATAGTAGGTCCGGGCAAGATTTTGCTCTTCGGCTACCTTGAGATCTGGAGATGTCAGTGGCTGCAGGCTGGGCTTCATACAAAGAGCTGACTTCTCTCTGGGGTGCTTCCTACAAAGCAGTTTCTAGAAACAATCAGTGCTAGAGCAAACCTAACAAGCAAGAAGGCAGATACAGCTGAGTGGAATTTGCATTATTTTAATTCCAGTCTTGGTGCTCTCCAGCTGAGTTTGTTTTGTTTTGTTTGCTTCCTAAAATGACTTGCCACAGTTGATACAAATCTGAGAAATGCTTTAATTGACTATCAGCAGGCTGTCTGCAGCCATGCTTGCATACAGCCCAGGACAGTGCTTCAGGCTCTCCTCTTGCTGCCTGCAGTTCAAGTGTGAGGCAGTGATTTCATCCACAGCACAGTGCACAGTTAAGATTCACTGCTGTACTGTGGGATCTTCCTGTTCTCTAGGCCACTAAGAGCCCCTGAGTGTGCCTCTCCTTTGGCACACATAGCCTGCTCCTTCCTTAACTTCTCAGATCTAACACCTGCCATAGTATGGCTTGTCCCAGGGGTGTGCCTTGAGCTTTGCTTATCCAGCTGTATGTAGCTCTAAATGAATTGGCTAAGACTGCAGTCACAACATTTTGGCTGGCTCTATAGAAATCCAAAGAATGTGCTTCCCGGTAGAATTATTCAAGAGTAAGGTGAGTGCTAGGAAATATTCCTGTAACAGCACATCTCTGCTTATAACTGCTAAAATCCAGCTTGAAACCTTCCTGGAGGCAGTTACCTCATCCAAGAAGAGCCAGTGTCTGTATCATGTAATGTAATCTGTCTCTCTGATTGCACTAGCATGCCATAAATGCTATACAATCTATAAATGTCAAAGCATCATCATCTGTGATAAATGGATCATTAGTTAAATCAATGAACATTTGGCAGATCAGATCAGTGCTTTGTGAAGACTAAAAACTACTTGGTCATAATAAGCAGTATCTGCCCCATACACTGCATAGACTGCTCAAAAATGTTTTGTCCCACAGTAACACCTTGTTCTGCATGCTGTGATTCCAAACCTACTCATGTTTCAGCAGGTGAGGAGCACAGGTGATTGAGTCTTCCTCCTGATAGCAGCCACATACCATACTTCATTTTAAACACCCACATACTGTTGTAATACCTTTGGTGTAAGTAGTATCATTAATTATTTCATATGAATGTCATACTTCCAGATCCTAGTTTGTTGTCCAAATGCACAAGAGGTGGTCTCAAACACAAAGGTAAAACAGAAACTAATGTAAAAGGTGTTCAGCTTCACCCTCTCAGCAAAGCTGGAGGGAGAATCCAGGGCGCTGGAGGTCTTGCAGGTGCTGGGAACAGTGAGTCTTTCTTTGCTTTCCTTTATTTCTGTTTCATCCAAAGCTGGTGCACACTGGTGCTTTTAATTTTTTTTTTTTCTTCAGGTTAAGTTTTTGCAAGAAGTCGCATTAGGAAATACCTCTGTAACACCTAGCTAGATTTCATCTCATTTGAATACTCTTTATCTCTACATTTTGCAATTTTTTTTTTTTTTTTTTAATGAACAACAACAACAAAAAAACCTTATGATGTTTGTCTGGCGTGGTGAAGTATATCCAACCAGTACTGTTGATGGCTCCACTTATTTCTGCGCAGTCACCAGTGTGGTATATACTGTTAGTACTATTACTGCTTCATTATTTAGAAAAAAAAATGGCATCCATGTTGTTACTGGATCATCTTTTTTTCCATGTGGGTCCGATGCTATTTGCATTCTTCCAGTCTTGCAGTAAGTCAACATAGTCTTCAAAAATATATACCAGTATAAATTGATTCTTAGCTCTTTATATGGCATTTTATCCAGTCCACATGCTTCACAACTTGTTGTACTTGATAGTGGTCATTTATCTGATGTTTATTTCTGCTTTTTCCAAATGTCCAGACATAAATAGTTCTCACAAGAGTTAGGGTTTCTCTTCATCCTTTTTCTTTTACTCATCTTCAGTCCCAAAAAGCAAATGATAGCATAATAGCAAAGTGATAGCATGATAGTAAGTGCAAGGCAAAAATGATGTGTGGAAGTGGATATTCTAGAAAATACATTCATCATACATACAACCATAAAAATCTTAGCATCTATTAAGAAGCTTCGTACAAGAGAACAAACCGCACCAGGGAGAGCAGAAGAGATAAAAAATATCATTAAAGCCTTAATCCCATGGCAACACAGAGTTGTTACCATCAGCTATGCATCTTTGCCCAAATGAATAAAGCAAGCAACGGTTTTTTGATTTCAAGTTATTTTGTTGTAATTTTTGTGTTTTCAGTCACTCACCTCTTTCAATACAGTATCACTGTTGTTTCTGTAATCTCCTTAGCACTGCTGCTAGCTTCTTGCGCATTGCTTCTCAGTTGCTTACTCACCCATCTTTTATACTGACACCTACACCCTCACATAATAATAACTTGTTTTTATGCAGTGCATTCACCTTAGTGATTTACCCAACCTACTCATAAGATTGCAAACCAGAAAACACTCCTTCACTCCTTTCACAGGACCCTGCCTGCCAGCAGGCTCTCTAGACTGTTAGTGAGATGTTTTATGTGATTACAAGATTGCCTCCAGTATGGCTTCTAAAATCTGGAACAAACTAGTGAAGAATTTCAGTCTGATTTTTTTTTTTTCCCATTAAATTACACCGATTGGGAAAGGATTTTCTGAATGAAGTCACTTTTACAGTAATGGTTCTTCAACAATTTCTGTATACTTTTTGGGTATTGAAACTTCTTTAATGAAAGTTTGGTACTCAGAGTTAAAATACAGTTTACAGCAGTGTGTCAAAGGTAAATAACTGTTCATCGAAAGGACTTGTGTGATTTTTGGTGTCAGTGGTTTGTGGCTCACAGGGGGGTGTTGCTGCAGTGTTTTAATGAGGGCGTAATAAGTTCTTAGAAAGGATGCCCAAGAGCCACTAACACAGCTGTGCCTGTTTCTGCTCCCGGTTATATTGCAGGGAGTGATGTGCCATTCTCTGCACTGTCACAAGATTGCTGCAAATGGTTTCATGGGTCATGCTTCTAGGGAAGAATGGTTAACTTTCAGCTTGCAGTGGTTTTGTTTGCTTGATTGCTTTCATTCCTTAGCAACATTTTCCCTAGTAAATTGATTTCACTTTTTTTTTTTTTTTTTTAATCAGAGGTTGCTTAGGGACAAAATTGTTCAACACTTTGAGTTACTGGACATACATTTTGGTAGAGACATATAAAGGGGGAAAAGAAGTTCTATTGCTGATTGATGGGGGTTAGATGACACATAATTCTCTGTTGTTACTTCTATTTGTCATCTGTTGCATTCTCTACCTATTCTGCAAGTTCCTTCCTTTCAGTGTGGCCTCTTCTAAAAACAACATCAGGCCAAAGCCATTGAAATTTGATCTTCAATACAAGTATTATTCCAATAATGCAAAGAATGCCAGTATTTTGATAGAAGGAAGTTAGACAAATATCTGTGGGTTAAAAATGTGGGAATTATTTCCCTGTTGTATCCTACCTTACGATAACAGTAGTAAACCTCAGCCCTGCCAGAGGGAATAAGGTGATGTGGGCATTTTCATTTCATTTTCTCAACAACTGAAGACATTGACTCAGTTCATTGCTGAAGGTTCAAACTTGACACCAGATGACTGAATCACAGATCCGGGATTTATAAGAAAGCTGTGTTGGCTGATCTCTGTATGTGGCTGACTGTTGTTCTTGAGCAGAGAAGAGTGGACAGTCATCTGCAATTTAAGCTAGATCTGGTAATTTTTCAGCTGTGCAGTAACTGGTTTAGCTAACAGTCAAAGGTTTATGATGGAACTTGCTCATGATATTATCAAGTACAAAAACAACCCTAAGCTGTAAGCTGTGAATAGAACCAAACTGATTTGTGAGACAAAATCCAGAACCAAGTGACAACTGGGATGAGTGAAGATTACAGAACAATTCAGAGTTGCACTACGAAGTAACTTTTACTTTTTATTTTATGACACAAAAAACCTGTCATCTTGTCATCATCCCTAGATACATTTTTTGGCCTTCTGGTTGTGATATCCCATTGTTTATGTGATCAGATAGCAACGCTGCACAACATCCTTCTCAGCCACTTATATCAAAATTATCTTTCATCCATCACAGTTAGAAGAACTACATAAAAGTCTGAAGTATTTGGCTGGACTTGTGCTGTGCTACTTGGACACTCACCTGAAGCTGCTGTGTAGGGGTAAGCAGATAAAATATGTATCTGTGCAAAACCAGCTTAGTTAACGTTTGTTAAGGTCAGATACAGTATAGAAGATGTGTTCCTGCAGCAGGAGAACTTCAAGTACGTACTGTCTGCTACTAGAAGTTCCAGTTCAAATACAGTTTTCCTTTATCATCTGGATTTGGCATTGTCAAGTATACATTATTAAATAAGATAGAAAATGAGTATGACCAGTTATTCTATTGAGTGTTATATGTCCAGTTGATATTGTTTAACTAAGTGAATGGGATAATTTCTGCTCCTAGTTACATGAGCATTTCAAAGACAAAGCAACCTGTCTCTCCAGCTGGAAGATGTTGAATTACACATGCTCTGTGCACATGCAGTCGTTTAGCTGTAGGTGCTTAACTGTACTACTTAAACTGAAGGTTTAGTCATCCTAGGTTTCCTTTGTCATCAACAGGAAAGAATAGACATCTGCACAGAGGTCAACTGCATCTGGTTTGCCTTGTGGATGGACCCACAGCTCTCTAGTTGTATAAGGGAATGAGATCATGTATTCCAGTTTTCCTAGTATGCATCAGCAGGAATGCATTAAGGGAGCAAAGCAAGGTTAAATCAGTTTGATTTCATCAGGTTGTAACTCAGCATTTCTTACCTGGGAATGTAAAACTGAGTGTAATGCATAGCATTTCTCTGATACTACCTAGAACTGAAATGGAATAGTGTTGAGCCTCTTGCTTGTTTCCTTTGACCAATTTTCTTTTTTAGCTGTAAAGAAATGTTTTCTGGTTTGTGATGGTTGATATTCATGTGGGTAATAAACACTTGGCCAAAGGTTGACTCCCTGTGGACTTTCCAAAACTGTGGGTTTGGTCCTTGTTGTTAGATGTTTAAAGGAGGACTTATACATGGATCTTGCAGAAAGCATGTGATGCTTTACTAACAGGAAATGTTCTTCTCTGGGCCAGGATGCAGCTGAGGCAGTGCGTTGTTAGTACTGAAAACTGCTTGGTGATAAACAGTGCAACCATCCTCTTTGCCATTTGCTTTTGTTGTGTGTACATATTACATTACTTTACACTCTTCAGTAGCACAGTGCAGGTCAGAACGTTCAGCAATGATTACTCTGTGACAAAAACTGATGCAAATCCAACCTAAATGATTCTATAATTCTTCTATGAGGAATTTGAATCTATCTATTCCATCTTTAAGTCTATAATGAGAATGTTATGCTTCTTCTATGATCTTCATCCAAAATACCTAGTATCTTAAAAAGGCAAATCATTGACTGAACAAAAAACTGAATTTAAATGGTTATGTGATTCAGTTGTCAGAATATCTCCTATTAGGATGTCTGTACTCAGGACTGTTTCATAGCATTCTGCATAGGAGCTCTGTAGGAATCTATTAAGTGCTCAGGTTTTGAGAGCTGTGATCAGTGAAGATCTTCTTACTTAGATTCCAAACTTCTTATATCATCTTTAAAATACATAGATATTTTCTTCAGCTGTGTTCCCTTAGAAAGACATGGAATTCTGCAGTAGATGTAATGTAGATGCAGTTCTGCAATTCAGCAATAGATCCCCAGCACAGGCCACAGAGTCTAGGTAAATTATGCCTAAGACAGACTTTTGACAGACTTGTTGCTGGCATGGTACTTGGCCACAACACTGTGCTGGTAGCATGCGCTGCTTTCCATTTGCTTGGTGCATCCTAACAACCTGCAGGAGAAGGATGTCAGTCTACTTACTGCAAATTAGCATTTTGCTCATTTACCTGGGAGGAGGGGTGTGTTCACATGTGAAGCCTGGAGCATAACAACCTCTGACCTAGGTCACTCCCATGCATTACACTGTGGGACTGTACATTGAGTACTTTGAGAGAACAGTGCAGATCAAAACAGCAACTTTGTCCTCCCTGTACTTCCCCAGAGGAACACAAATCATAAAATATGAGTAAAACTGAAAGATCAAAAAGAAGGCAGAAAAATCCTGATGAAGGCGCACTTATCTGCCTGTTTAGCACCAAGACAAAATAAATCATTGGTAAAGAAGGCAGAAACTGTACAGTTGCAACAAAGGGGTTTGCAGTTAGAAAACCCCAGGATGTTGAAGCTAGAGTTGGGCCTATGAAGAGTGTTGGGTGAGGTATGTATTCCTGCCAGCATGCTGATCTCATGAGTGAAGCACAGAAGGAGTCTGCACTGCTTCCCCATGGCTTTTCCAGGAGCAGAGCACTGCTCTGTGACTCAGCTCTTTGTGTCAGGCTGAGACTATTGCTGCTTAAGAGCACTGGTCAGTGCATACTGTAATGAGGTGATCTGTACACCCTCCAGACGCCAGACTCATAGAAATAAAGCATGGACCTGTGAAGGATGTGTCTATTCTCTGGGGAGTGTCTATTCTCTGTGGCAGTTACTTCAGGACCCTTGGGTGCTTTGATAGATGTTTTCAATAATGTTGGAGATCAAGACTAGAATGTTTTTCTTGAGTAGTTGGGTATGTGTGTGAGGTCAGGCTTTGTTACTATTACTTTTACACATTGAAAAAATCTGTGCGTTTTATTTTTCCCCTCAGAAGTTTGGAGCAAAAAAACAGTGAATTGACTTGAAAATTCCCCTAGAGGAAGAAATACCCTCTTCTGTATTTTTTAGTAACAGGGAAGTATTCTTGTGCAAAACAGGGAAATGCTAAATTTCAAGATACTGATGGAGTTCTGGGATTTTAACACAGCATTGCCAAAATTGCACTCCCTCAAAAAGAAAAAAAAAAAAAAAAGAAAAAAAAGTTCTAATAAATTACAACTTTAAAAAAAAAACCAACAGATTTCTGAAAATAAGTTTTCCTCCACAAAAGGGGAGTGGGAGAGAAGAGGAGAAGATGAATGAAGCTATTTTTGTCTTTGTCTTGTTTGCAAATGTTTTTGTGCTGGTTAAAGTTGCTACTCACTGTCACTCAAGGAAATGCTTTTTCTATCACTTGATTTGGTTTGATATTCTGGCAGAAATTATTTTTCTTTGCTGCAAAGAGAAGCCTTCTGCTGCCAGTCTCTTGCATGAGGCTCTATACTCATCTTGCATTGCATCCAGATGGTTTGCTTGCAAGAATGAATGATGGATGAATTGTTGATGTCAATGTTTAGCTGCCACCAAAATAATTCCTTTTCAATCAACAGAATCAATTGGCCTTCAGCACATCATACACTTTTACCTATTCAGTAGTTGCCCAGTGAATTTCCAGGGACAAGTATGTGATTAAATTCTGTACATAAATGTTTGCTTTGCAGTGACAAACCATTTAATTAAATCCAGGTAATACTAGTACCAATCAATAGCTCTGTTTGTTCTGTGTCAAACTGGAACTGTGTCTGCTTCTTCACCTCCTCTCTCTACTTGTAATCTTTGGTTATGATCTACAGCTCTTCAGATATCAAGTCTGCTATGCAAGAAGTTAAACAGTTCTGCTCAGTGGGAAACTCTTCTTTGCTGTCCAGCATTTTAATTTCAGTAGCAATTAAGTAATCTACTTTTTTTTATTGTGTGCTCGTTGATCAGTAAATCAACAAATAAACAAATGAATTAAATGTCTCACAAATTCTCACTGAAGTGTGGTGCGAGTTTTGCTCACTTGTAGGAGAGTTATTACCACAAATAGGCTGTGCTTTTCACTTAACAGACAGCAGGTGCTTTGTAGACTCTGGCATGTGCATGAGCTTGTTCACTGCTCTAATGCAGCTGTTTCAGAGAAGGGAAATAGCTGCCAGACAACCCACCGTGGCAATGATACATGGTTTAGAGAGGAAGTGAAGATGATTAATAGCCAGTTGAATCTAGATGTCATGTTGGTTAGGCAAGTAATAAACCAGTCACCGCTTAATTGGTTTGGTGTTTTGGACAGACTACAGTTACTTCATCTGATATGCAATCAAAGAATCATAGAATTATTAAAGTTGGAAAAGACCTCTAAGATCATCTTGTCCAACCATCCACCTATCACTGATATTGCCTGAAGTGACAGAGTTCTTCCATATCATTAATCAATGCTCTTCCTTCTCATTACAAATGTTCTTTTAATCTCTTCTTGAAGCTAAATATTAATTAATCTCGTTGTGTTTGAAAAGCTTTCAAATAAGCTAAAAATTTTAATTCAATTCAAATTAAATTTCAAATAAGCTAAAAATGTCACATCCTGCCTTGTTACAGCCAAATCCCCCTCCCTACACTCCATATGCTCAGATTATCAAATTTTATTCCTTTCAGTGTGTCTGTATTTCGTTATGTAGTAATCTATGATAGAATTTGATCAGGATGCAAGCCTACAGCTTTGTATTTTGCAAGATAGCTGTGGTTACCACCGTTACTGCAGGGGACCTTAAGATGCAATATGTACCTACTCTGTTGTTTCAATGCTGTGGCTGATGGTTTCTATCAGAGAGAGGCTTTTGAATTGGATGAGTCTTTTGTCTGGTCCCGTGCAGCCAGTATTAAATTATCCTGGATGGAATGGTTTGTTTTCTTTCAAAATTATTTCTTGCATCAGCTAGCTACAACTTAAACTAGAATGAGAAAGAACTGTATATTTAGCATCATATGCAGATTCTGCAAAAATGCACCAGCAGAAGGGCCAAAGCATGATCAAACTATGGGATGTCATGAAAAGACTAGTAATACAAAATGGACTGGTCAGTCCCTTCCCTGCCATGAAATCCAGCCATCAGAACAGAATTACTGGAATCTCACACTACGCTATTTGCTATGTTTCTTAGCCCTGGATGATAAATTAACACAATCCTTGTAGAGGTTCCAGTAGGCATGTTGAGATCTTACACAGCATCTCTGGAGGTGTTCAAGTTCAGATTGAATGGGGTTTTGGGCAACCTGATCTAGCGGGAGGAATCTCTGCCTATGGCACTCTGATATTTCATGAGTAAACTGCAAAATGAAATCAATTGCTTGGAGGGATTGGTGCAGAAAGGGCAAAGCAGTTGTTGGCAGAGAGAAGGAAGACAGACACGATTTGTCATCAGTACTACCTGATTCCTTCAATTAAAGCTCTGTACAGATGTTTTGCTAACCAAAGTATTTCTCTCGTTTTCTTGACAGTAAGAAATACAAGCTAATTTTGGATGCAAAGGAAGAAGGGGAGAAGCAGGGAAGAAATGCAAAGTCAATATTGGTCAGTGTGATGAATGGTGAATACCTTGAATCATGTTCTTTGATATTTATTAAAGTTTGGAAAAAGCTTTCAGTAACTTCTGCCTATTTCCAAAATAATGAAACATTGGACAAATGAAATAGATGATGAACAAGAAATACAAATCACAAAAAAACTATCCTTTTTATTCCTCCTTTTCAACTTCAGTGGATTGTAGTTTATTCCTTAAACACTGGTGGAGCTGCAAAGTTTGGTTCTCTGTTTTCTTCTCAGACATAGATCCATTAACTTTATTTCTCCCTCCATCAACCACAAAGCAAGTGGCTTTTGGGAAGAGAGCACTGAAACTAGTGGAGAAAAGGCATCTTAACTCTTGGTTTTATGCTTAGTCTTCTGGTCTGAATCATCTTTAAAGTTGGCTGAAGTTGGTCTTATACCCCTCCTGTAGTATATCTAATAAGAATAGTTGGTTTTTCATTGTTGATTTTGCTGAAGGTAGAAACTGCTGATGATGCCTATACGGTGTCTGGCAGCCAGCTCATCCACAATGGGATCAACTGCACTGAAGAAATAGTTGTGATGCCTTTGAAATTCCTGATGGCTGTGATTTCTTGTGAGATATGCTCCATGCCCGGAGAGCTGAGACTGTGTTATTGGCATTTGCACAAGTAAACAGACTGGGTCTGGCTGCTGGTGAGCCAGAGGTGGAGGTCTGGGTGCAGCAGAGGGTAAGAAATTGCTACCCACTGAAGCATAATGATACACCTATTGCAAGTGTGAGGTAGAACCTGTTGGTGTAAGATTCCAAGTGATTAACCTTTGAATTTTACCTTCTGTTTGCTATTGGTGCTTGTGGGTCGTTATTGTAGATTACCAGATAGATAATTAATTGTATATCACAACCTTTACAGTTGTTCTCTTGATTTTCTGTATGCATGGGTTATCTCTTTCTAATACAAATGAAACAAATACAAAATTGGCAAGTTTTCTGATTTCATAACTCATACTCAGATATCAGGTCAGGCCACTTATTTTTCCTTGATGACTATTTTTATTATTCAAGTAACATTCCCTGTGTCTAGGTTGAGTTGGAGTCGGACTTGCTACCCTGCTATGATCTGCTGGCTTCATCCCTTTGCTTCAGTTTTTCTCAGTTTGTAGAGGGAGGATTAAGTTTTTCAGATTAGTTACTGTTTTTGGAGTATTTTGAAGTTTTCCTTAAAAGCTGCTGTAGAAGTGTTGGGCACTAAGGCAATGAAATGTGCTCAGAATACCCCTATCAGGGCTGAATAATCAGTGTGTAAATATATACTGCAGAGCAAACATTTCACAGCAACAAGACTTCTGCTCTAGCATTAGACATTGGCTTTATCACTCACCAAGGAGTAGGATCAGTGTTCCCCATTCCCATCACTCAGTACCGCATCATATGGATATTGCACTGCTGAGTGTGCTTATGGAAAAGGATAGAGTGATTTAAACCTGCAGGATCTTCTCAAAACATATTTCAGGGCCATGTTGCTGACAAGTCCATGCTATCTATGGTGAGTTAATCATCTCTTTAAAATTAGGTCACCTTGACACACGTCCTGAATCTTTCTGTTGATGTATGCCATTGTGAGAAGAAAAATATTGATGTTATTTTCTGAATAGAAGAGCAGGTGAGCATAAGCAGGGAAGGAAGGCTAACTTACAGCAGAATGGGATCCCTACCAGTGGTGTTTTGTGTCACAGTCTGTAAATCTCCACAAGGAGCCAGTCTGTGGGAGGAGGCAGTTAATGTGGATGAAACCACACGCAGAGAGAATTTAGGAGGAGAGGAAGCACAGGCTGCTCTGTGTGGAACCAGCCTGGGAAGGCTGGAGACCCAGTTGCACCAACAGAAAAGCTGTTTCCATTCCAGTGGGCTTTGTATAGGGGCATTTAACAGCATCTATCTCAGAATTCAGAACTGGAGAACGTCTTACACAATTGCTTTTGAAGGACAGAATAAAAATTAAGTGTATTGGAAAGTGTGCTGATCTGCAAGCTGTAGGGTACACTGCAGCTCTGACAGCTCAGGATGTCTCTTACTTTAGTGCCTTGCTGTGCTGAGTATAGGGCATCCAGGCTGGAAAGAAGCTGCAGATGGCATGCTTGCTGCTATGTACTCCTGAACGTTTTGTTAGGTATGACTCAGTCTTTTATTGGCAATTTCTCTTGGACCTTCTTATTTCTTATTTGCATATGCAGCGACTGCCAAAGGCCATCACAGCTAATGGTGTTTACCATTCACAAGTGAGAATTGTGACCTACATATAATGACCAAAGTATTGTGTAAATGTCACTGTGCTAGCACTATTGTGCTGCAACCTGTGTTATTTTGATACCTGTGTGTGTTCTCTGGCTCTTCTGATTCTTGCCATGACCTTGGTGGCCTTATGTGTCATCTTTACAATGACTAAACGTGATAAACATGTAAAATCTCTTACTCCTTTGGAGTTTGTTCATATAGGAGGAATTGGGACAAATTGTAACCTTTGGGTAAATCTGCTTCTAAACAGATTATCTGTGTTCACTGTAACTAACCTCCCTTTCCCTGCATCTCCATGAATGGCCTTGAGTTTCACATGCAGATGCAGAGATCTAGGCAAGCACCTTCATGCTCTAACAGCTGAAAAAGATGTGGAGTTACAGTTCATCTGAAATTAAGAAGCTTATCAAGTATTAGCTTGCACTAAAACCATTTGCAACACATGTATTTTTGAATTTTGGAAAAGAAATATTATTTAGCTCAGTAAATATTATTAAGAAAGGTTAAGAAAAATGTAAGTGAAGTATAGTACATTTTTTGAGCAAGGTTTTTAGTATGGACAACTTGTGCTACCTTAAATAATAGTAATAAAGTCGCTTCTAGAGATGAAACCTATTCATATGGTACTGTATTCTGGGACAGGTCTTTTAACAGTCACCACTGGGGGCTGTATTATTATAGTTACTGTTATTTATCAAGAAACAATTCTTGTAGAGTGACAGTGATCCAAACTTGGACTGGTGACAGGGCTTTGCCCATCCTGCACCCACAGCCAGCTGCCTGGGTGGACCACATTCATTGCAGTGCTGTAACCACGGGGAGGTATGTATGCCCAGAGGCTCCATCCCACGGTGGGCAGGGAGAAAGCCTGGGAATTTGGAGGCACACTGCAATCATGCAAGGTTTGTTCCAATGAAAAAGTTATTGCATAATCAGGAAGAAAATTAATCATCCTCTCAAGGGTGCTCAGCTCAAGGGTTTCTGCACAATATAGCCACGACTGGAGGAGGAGAGTGGCTGCTGCAAAGGGCAAGCAAAAGAAACAAGCTTTGGAGAAATCATGCTGTTAATCTTGTGTGGCGAATGAGAATTTGAAGAGATGAAGCTGCTGGGTAGAAGGTTTTGAAATTTGGGGTGTTATTGGGAAGAGGGAAAAGAGAGCAAATGGAGGAGAAGCAGCTTCGGGGTCTCTGATGAAAATATTGAATGATTCACAAGATGTACAATAGCTCTGCTCTGCCTAGTGGCACATTTGTGCCACCAAGACTTGCCTCACAGTAACAATTCTTTGAACCGTCGTTTGAATCGGACAATACTGTCAAGAGAGTGCCCTCTGTTGTACGTAATGACTAAATGCACTCCTTCAGAGCTGACCGTTCGGGCTGGCAGGGTGGATGCTGTCTGCTAGAATCTCAACCTCAACCAGCTTTGTTCTCCATTTTTATGAATACATCTGTATTTTATAAATATATTGAAATCACACCAAGAGGAGCAAATAGAGAACCAGCTATGTATTACCTTTGTAATTATTTCAAAAAGCACAATGAGCTGAAGAAACTTAATATAATTATATGGGAACTTTCATATTTAGAGTGGTGGTTTCTGTGTAATAAAATGATGCTCACAGAGGGCTGTTCCTCTTTTCAGAAACAGTTCAATCCGTTATGGAACGTGGAGTTTAGAATACCAAAGAAAGCAAAAGAACAGCTAACATAGGGACATAGGGATGCTGCTTGAAGATGTTTGTGATCCTTTTGGTTCCCACTTCTGAGGAGGCTATTTTGCAGAAATCCAACATCTCTTTACAGCCTGAAACCAGTGAGGGGTTGAGGTAGCATCACTGTGTTCACCATGCTTCAAGTTAGAAAGTTCCTTCAGAATTGGAGAGGAGAGAAAATTACTTCTATATGGCAGCTTGGAAAGGGCGTAACTGTAGTAACAGCTGTAGTAATTCTTCTTGCTGTCAGCATTAGGATACCAAAAGTTTCATGGAAAATGCCTAGGAATATTTCTTACCTGACATGTTCAGATGTTTTGCTGAGTATTGTTTTAGCAGTTACAGAAAGTAAGATACCTACCATTACTTGCTGGGAAGTTGTTTCATGCCCTGATATGTCCTGCTCTTCAGTAATTATTGTTTCCCTTTCTATTGATTTCTCCTTAGATACAGGAACTAGCACCTGGACCTTGCTGTATCTGACACCAGCTGTCTCCAAGGATGCATCCTAAAGCTCACTACCTTGTTTTCCAGCCTCAGACATGCTTACTTCACATCCATACAATGGATGTTCAGAGCTAAGCCTGTCCAGTCACAAGGCTGCCTGGTTCCAAGAGCACCATACCTACTGCAGCATGTGCTGAGCTCTACTTCACCCATCCAATCGATGGTGAGAAACAGGAAAGAAACATCAGATAATTCCTAGGACTTCTGAACTATTGCTTCATAGAAGGCACTATTTTCTGCCATTGTTGACTGCTAGGTTGGTTTTTTAGCATTGAGGGGCTCTACAGATCAAGCTGAAGTGTTCATAGCCTTGGCAGACCAGGCCTGAAGGGAAGTCTGATACAACACTGAGGCTGATAAGGAATGGGGATGCTGAAGGGAAATTTGGCAGTGAAAAATGCAGAGTTTGAATATCCTTATGTTCTGTGCAGAAACAAATACTATTGGTATCACAGCTCTGTAAGAGGAGGCATCAGTAAAAT